TGCGGCCCAAGGCAGGTGACTCCTGGAGCTCCAGGGCTGCTCCGTCTACAGAGACTATCGGAGAGCAGCCCCAAAGTTCTCCCATGATCTAGTGACTCTCAGGGCATCGTCCAGCGTCAGAGACACAAAGGGATGCTGCGCGCACTGGGCCTTGCATTTATGTGCTTTTTAATCAATACAGGAGGCAGGGAGGGACAGAATTGTTACAAGAGCCATTCTGAGACGGGAGACAAAAACGCAGAAGAGCTGGTTACTAAGTGCGGGTCTCAGCTTCTTCCTGTTGCCTCCAGGAGAGCTGCGTGAGTCTACAGAGAGACACATCCTTCCTGGACTCCTGAATGCCGACCCTGAGACCTCTGCAGGTCCCAAGAGCTGTCATTCACAGAGGGGTGCTTACTGGAAGTTCAAGTGTAGAGAAAGTGAGTTTGAGCAGCTTCCCCGACTCGCCTGCCTCCCTCTGAGAAGACAGAAGTGACACTTCACGCTGCACCAGCCGCATCCGAGGGAGGCAGCCCCGGCAGTCCGGGGATGGGTGCCGGTTGCCTGCATGACCCCTGCAGAACTTACCTTCACTTGAGAAGCTGCTGGGGGCTGGTGGTAAAGAGGGAAGCAAAATCCACAAGCCCTGCAGGAGAAAGTCACCAAGGCATGCACTGCTTTCTGCAAAACTCTGTGACATTTCCAAATCACCGGGTGAAAAACAGGCATATAAAAGTGTTTCAGGAGGGAGAAAGTTTCAATGTTATTGAATGTGAACAAAATCGCCAAGGGTCACGGAGCAGACAACATGGACGTAATGTTAGAAAACATTTACAGCGTGAGCAGAGAAGAGAGAAGCAGCACAGACTTCCTGTCCAGGCGCACCGCAGCCCCTCCAGAGCCCCTCCCTGGGCTCGCCCCCCCCCCCCCCCCCCTGCTGCCCACCACGCCAGCGCCCCGTCCAGCGCCCCGTCCAGCCCCCACCAACAGGACGCAAGGCCTATCGGGCCTTAACAAAAAGGCCACATCTGCTGTTCCCTCATGACTGCCAGCTCATAGTCTCCATCTCACCTTTCCCGTCTGCTCCATCCTAATCCTCACACGCTTTTTACTGTAGAAAACCTCAACATTTGCAAAAGCAGAAAGAAGAGCATACCACTCCCCCTAGCCCTCGCCCAGGCCGCGCACGTGAGACGTGCCCTCCGCAGCCCACTCGTTCCCCCCAAAATGAATTACTGTAAAGCGAATTCCAGAAAGCGCGTCATTTCACCTATGAGCACCCATAAGGGAACATTTGAGCACGTTCCCTAAAAGGAGAGAAGCTCCTAACAACACTACTATCCCCTCCCCGCATTTCCTAATATTATTACCACAGTGACAGTTTTTAATACCTGTGGCCCAGGATTGCAGGTATTTCTTGTGTACATAACGGGTCTATCTGATCCAAACGCGGTCCACACTCTGCATACTGGCCCCTGCCTCTTAAGTCCCCTTCAGCCTGTAGCCACCTTCACTTCTTCCTCCAACAAGACCAGCCGAGACACATGCATCCCTGCCCCACCTACGAGGTGTCCTCTGTCCTCTACGCCGGACCAGGGTGTCCTCAGCCACCAAGCGCCTCCCTGCAAACACCAAGGCACAACTCCAGGGCGGTCTTCTTCCTAAGCCGACCCCAGCTGTCACCAGCTGTCCTGCCTCTGCCGAGGGTCTCCTGTGGCACTTTACCCAGATCCCATACAGAGCTCTTGCTACCCGCAGCCTGGGTGTCCCCTACCTCACCTCCACCTCCGAGCGGCAGATGCCATCTCATTTCTCTCTGCAAGCCTCTAAGACCTCCGTACCACACCCGGCATCCTCCCTCCTCTCTGCCCTCACCCGCCCATTCTCTTATGAGATAGGTGTTGCATAACAGCTGAATTTTAGGCATTCTGAAAAAGCCTAGGGACCCCAAAATTCTATTTCCTGACCCCAAAATATCAGTGGCTCTTTTACCTTCTTCAAAATAGATGCAATCAGCCCTTCCAAGATGAAGGCTGACATTATGATAGTGCTCTTAATGGACACTTTATTTCCAGGAGAAGTGATTTCACCCTGTGAGGCCCCAGAACAGTGTAGGGCTCAGTCCTGGGGCTGCTGGGGACCCTGGAGCGTCTTTCTCTTTGTTCTTCCCTCCGATCCACAACCCTTACTACCACCCAGCCATTGAGCACCAAGCCCACCAGGAAGCCAAGTGAGACACAAGGAGGGTCCTTGCCTGCAGGAGGGACAAAAGCAAAAGCAAAAGTTCCAACCCCACCAGGTGGGTGGAAACTAAAGCCCAAGAGCGACCAGGTAGCTTCCCAAGGCGCCACGCCTCCTCAGAGCAGCCTCAGACTACACCTTCTCTGTGGCTCCTCTGTCCCAGTGGACACAAGAAGGGATGAGCCCCCCAGCCAGTAGCCGTGCCATCGCAATCCCAGGGAAAAGCTACTCCATACACCACCTCCCGGCGAAGTCCAGCCCCTGCCACATGCCAACGAGGAGGAAGAGGAGGAAGAGGAGACTTCCCCTTCAAAACTTGCAAAGGTATAAAGGACATAGTCAAGAGTACGCTAGGAACTCGGGTGCCAAAGGACAGCACTTCAAAAGAATGTCTGACAAATCCCTTCTCCGACTGCCTCACTGGTCTGTGAGATGGCAAATTAAGCCACCCTCTTGCACCCACACCTCGCTACTGCCGCCTGCTCGGACCCAGTGCGTGCAGCCCAGCCCGACAACCACAAATTCCTGCCCATCCAACACTCTTTAAAAGGTGTTTTAGTCACCAGAAAACTAGCACAAAGTGCCTGTTTGAAATACCTGCCGGTGTTCCTGACAGCTGTCAGCCAGGGCTCCAGGAATGGAAGCCTTCCAGCGCTCAAGCTCGGGCCAGGCGGAAATACCTGGTAGGTGACAGCAACGAAGGAGCACTGTGGAGGGTTCTGGCCTGGGTTAGTAGCAAAAGTTGGAAGACTACTGGGAGGCACTGGCAGCCCCCACAGTCCTGTCAGGCAAATGAACTTCTTAGGGCAATTTGCTCCTTAAAGAAACGTCAGCTTTTAGTCACTGTGCTGGACAAGTCTGTCCCCTGGGGCTGTACATCAGTGAACAGATTACAGAAACCCTCTTCACCAGATGAAAAAGTTACATTTGGCTCCTTCTCCAAGTGTATAGTAGAATGCTCTTAAAGTTCTATTCTGCAACACTCAAGTAACAAAAGACAGCATCTGCCAGAGTCAGAATCACGCCAACATCCAGATGATCTGACTTCTCTTTAAAAATGAAAAGCTCCAGTGGCACGGGTCCAGCTTTTCTTCACTGGCAACTTTAAGAGGGAACAGAGAAGCGGAAGGACATGCCCTCCAACCCGCCACGGCTCTGCCGGCCCCCTCTGTGTCCTCTCTCGGTTACCCTCTCTGTCTGCACACCCAAGCTTGGCAAATCTGTACTAAACAAGACAAGGGAGTTGGGGAGCTAGCTCAGTGGCTCAGTGGCTCTGTGCCTCCCTGGCAAGCACAAGGTCCTGAGTTTGCTTCAAAAATGACCCCTGCGCTTGAGAATCTGAGTCCAGCGGAGGTGAGAGGCAAAGGACAGGTTACAACAAGGAGGAGGTGAACCCCAGAACAGCCGTGCAGACCTAACTGCACGGGGGTATCTAGGCCGTGTTCCCAAGGGACGGGACATTTGGGGAAAGCTTTGCAGGATGAGAACAGGGTGGACAGTGGAAAGTGGGAGCCAGTCACTGAGTGTTCAGGGAGGGGAGAGGCCAAAAGAGCCCAGCCTTTCCTCAGGGAGATTGGGGGAAGGACCCCATTACGCACCACATGGACAACTGCATACAGGTGTGCAGGGCACTCCAGTCACTGAGGCAGAGACCACTACGGTCCAACTGCTGCTGGGAAAGGTACGGGCAGCGGAGCGACCGAGTGCGGCCAAGGGCCCTGCCAGCTTCCTGCCTTCTCTGCCAGCGACACATGTCTCCACCAACCGGATCCCTTCTCAGGCACTGAGAATTACATAACAAGAACACGGCCAGACCTTCTGAGGGTTACCGTGGAATGCCCAGGTCTTCCCGGAGAACCTCTGCCATGAGGAACCAGCACGTGAAGGGTACAGCTGGGTCGCCAGGGTGACACACAACCTGGGAGCCAGGCACACAGGCGGTGACCCCCACAGCCCAAGGACTCGCTAGCTCTGCTCTTCTTCCATCAAATTAAATCCGATCTCAAACAAAAGCTAAGACAGCAAATGTACAAGAAGCTTTTGTAAAGTTGTGAGAGCCCCAACAGACTATTTCCTGGTCTTGTTACTGCTAGGACAAACGCTTCTTGTCATTTGTGGTCACCGTGACACAGCTGAGAGCCAGTGAGCCGGAGGGGCTTGCGTGGAGAAGGCCCCGGCCCTGGGAGCTCCACGCTGTTCCTGTGGTGTCCACAGCATACACACCGAGACTTCTTTCCTCAGCAGTGCTGGCCCGTATGTCACAGGAGCTCTGAAAGTCTTACATACTGCGGCTCACCCTCTCCCTACAGAAGGCCTGTTTCAAAGCCTTTCCCACTCTGGGCATCATTCTCTTCCACAGCCAACACTCAGCTCGCACCAAAAGACTTTGACACAACTTAGGATCTACTGTAGGAGCCAAAAGTTCCATTACAAGAAAAGTTATCTTAAAGGGTGGAACTCAGCCAGCGAGCCCACTTGGGACATCACTGAGAATAACCTGTGTGATTGCACAACGGGCTGCACGCAGTCCAAGGACGCAAGCCAGGCGGGCTGCGCGGGTCAGGATCCCACCCCTGGGGCGCCTCCAGCCACGCTCACGCCTCTGCAGGACACGCGAGCTCACGCTTCCTTAGAAGCTCTATTTCCGTGAGCTGATAGAGCTGAGTTTCATGCTGCAGCTAAAGGAAGGAAGGCAGCCGTGCTGGGGCTGGCGTGGAGAGGTGGTCTCAGCCACAGCCAGCCCTCCCGACCTCCTCTCCTCCCCACCTCAGCAGACTCACCTTGGTGGCCTCCTCCACGCTCTCCCTCAGGGCCTGCAGCTCCACGTCATACTGCTCCTTGAGCTTGTCCATCTCCTGGTCGTGGCTGGACACCTCCTCCTTCAAGGCCCCCTTCAGGGCAATGAGCTCCCGTTCCCGCTTTCTCAGGAGCTCTTCCAGCTCCTCTTTGGTGATCAGCAGATCATGAAGGTCTCGCTTTGCCTGCAGCAGCTCCTACAGAGACCAAAGCGGATGGAGGAAGTGAGCAGGGGACATCTCCGCAGTGGCCCCACCAGGGGTCCAACCGGGTCACTGCCCCGACACACCCTGCTTCCTTGGACCAAGGCTGCTGGGCACCACGGCGGCCCTTCCTCCTGCCCCACTCAGCCTGCATTCTCCTGGGCCCTCTGCCCTAGTTTCCATGCGACTTAGGGAAGAAGGAAGGGGAAACTGAGTCAGCCGCCACTGCCCAGCGGGGCCATCGGGCCTGGCCGCTCACTTCATTTCTGTGTGATGCTCCGCTGCCCTTTCCATGACCATGGGCATGCTGCAACCACAAGGGGCCCCTCAGGCCCGCTGGCCCGGCCTGCCGCCTACGCCGTGCATGTCGTAGTCACACCCTCCACCTACACCTGGGCCCGCACCACTGTCAGCACTCCGCCAAAAGGAGCACGATGCTTACACTTTCTCCTCCATCCCGGCCAAGAACGCCCAAGGAAAGGCACCCACCCGAGGCCCTGGGCTCCAGCAGACCCCAGCACCTCCACCAAGTGCCCAGCTGCCTGGCGCTGCAGCATCCCCATCTCTGCCCTCCTTGGCCCACTAGTCCTGCCCTGGCACCCCTGCTGTGCAAATATAGCCCCTCCCGGGTCCTGGTGAGCAGCCGGCCCCTCCGTGACCCTCCCTTCCCTTCACCTCGAGATCCTCCTTGCCTTGCAGGCCAAAGGTGGCACAAGGTCCTCCTTCCCTGGGGCCACCTTTTCTGTGAGGATCTTTTCTGGCCTTGTTCTCCCTCTTTTTTTTTTTATGCATTTAGTACAGGGTCTAAGGGGCCTCACTACACAGACTGGACTTGTAGCGATTCTCCTGTTTCTGCCTCCCAAGCACTGGGATCATAGGCACATGCCACCACCACGCCCACCAGGTATCGAACCCCGATCCCTGCACCTGCCTAAGCAGGCGTTTAATCCACCGAGCTATCTGGCTGGCCCTTTTCTCTCCCTCTTTCAAAGAGCTCAGAATGCACTTTTGCTCTCTTTAGTTTCCTTCGGCAAGTTCATCCGCTGTTTTCCACACTGCGAATTCAGCAAAGACTCTGAACCCCTGACCTGCACCCCTCTTTGGAGTTCACTCCTGTGCCAACGCAGCAGGCGCCGCTGGACACAGCACCTGGCACCCCGGCACCCAGCAGGAGAGCTGTGTTTAGGTAAGTCCGTCTCATCCCTCCCTTCCACTTCCTGTGTCCACCATTTCTGACCACGCCTCTTGCTGCCTAAGCCCACTCAGGAGCTCGGCAGCACCCTGACGTTCCCGTCCTGCTCCTCACAATCAGAGCTGGTTCTGTACCACGCGGGTTGCTTGTCCTCCTCTCTGCTCCTCCTCGGTTGGGCCCACATGGCCTCCTATAATGCTTCGCAGGAGCGCGCAGCTGCCCCAAGGCCATCTCCCCTCTTGCAGCCACCAGGAGCAGAACCGCAGACGCGCTCCCTCACCCTGCCCCTCTCCAGCTGTGGGAAGCCTCCGAAGACCCAGCCCCACGACCCCCCAACCGCTTCTTCCTCCCACGCCTCCTCTGACACCCTCTTCACCTTGCAGTCCTGGTCCATGGTTGTCTTTGCTCACCTCCCCCCTGTGTTAGCAGCTCGTTGGAGGGCAGACATGGGTCTGACTTATCGCATTTTTCATGCAAGCATCACAGTGCCAGGAGCATCTGCCTGTTCTGGGAACACGGTGAGCTGGGCACACAGCAAGGTCTGGCACGTCCGCATTCTGGGCCCAGCCCACCCCAGGCCGCCCCGAAAGGGAAAAAGGGCCAATCCCAAGCCCCAAACCCCGCAGGGCAGAGGCAGAGACAGGGGACAAGGAGAAGTAAAAGGACTAAGCCGGGTTCTGCGCGTGTGCCAGCTCCTCACAGCGGGTGTGACCCCAGCGTGCAGACGGGGAACACCAAACAGGAAATGACTTACAAGATGGGCTCGCCCTGCTTTCCTGCGGACCCTGGCCCACAGGACAAGCTGCCTTGCAGTCGGGCTGGTGTGCAGCACTCGGTCCCCTGCACATGAGTGGCAGCCGAGATCTCGCCAGCCTTCCAGGAGAAGCATGGGCCAGGACGGAGCCCGCAGCACTGGCTAAGACCAGGTCATCAGGAATCCGCCCCGCAGACGCCAACGAGCTCAGGGGAACTGTCCAGACCCATCCAGCGGCTGGGGGCTCTAGCTCCTCCTCACCACGCTGCTGAGGCTGCAGCAGGGAGGCCAGGCTGTCGCCGCGGGGTGAGGACGGCGCACACCGCCACCACTGTCGTCAGGCCACCGCTGGCCACCCCTCCACGGCAGCTCCAGAGCAGCTCTGGGAATCTGACCCTATTTCCTGCTCTCACTCTCACACATCTCTCAGTTGTTTGGGCGATAACGTAGTTCCTCTCCAGGCTTATCTTCCCCAGGATGTGTCTGTCCCGTGGTGCCAGAGTGCAGGTTTTTCTGGCCCGTCCTACACCACTCTTATCTGCACTAGGGCTGCTGCCCAAGTGGACGGCCAGCCCACACGAATCAGATTACACCTGGGTATCACCCAGTAGCTTGAGGCTTTCCAGAGCAGAAACAAAAGGCACAGCAGGTTTCAAACACCTCACTTCATGGCCTCGGGCTTAATTATACCAAGTCAAAGAAGGAAAGAAAAATACACCCACTTCAGTGAACATAAACATGCACTGAAGACAAACAGGCCTCTCTGCAGACTCCAACAGAAGGAAACAAAGGAAACCCTTGCTTCTGCAGAATCGCTGCTTTCCAAGCCCTGAGGTGCTCAGTCCCTCCTGTGAGGAGCAGCCAAGAGATCTCCACACCTAACGTGCATTGGGAGGGGGCTGGGGGTGCCTGCCACGCTTGGTACTCGCTGCAAATGAGACCTGCCACGACTGCAAGGACTCAGAGATGACCTCCCCGGAGGTGGGCATGACTTTGGAGCTCTGAGTCGCTGGCCTGCCCGGGTCCCACAGCTTAAAACAGGCGAGTCGCGACAGCGACACAGCTAGATCCCAACTCCCTTCTCTTCAGCGCTCATTCTGTCCTCCGCACCCAGCCCAGAGCCCGCAGTCAGAAGGTGGAGTGAGCAGGCCGGGTCTGTCAGGTGCACAGAGAAGCTTTCTTGGCTGAGGTGCCAGTGGGGAGTCCACATTTGTAAGGAGGGCAGACAGGAGACCAGAGTCGGAAAAGGAAGGAAGCAAGGGAGG